CTCAAAACTAGTACAAAAATCACTTCCTGTGGCTGGACCATGTGTCTATTATATTTTTACTTATTTGTTTTTGCCTTTATAAAATATTTCTCTGTCATAGAATGATTCATTTTCAAAGGAACCACGTTTACATGTAAACTTTACAAAATAGTATGCAAAACTATTCTGACACCCACAATTTCAGGAAGTTTGTTCTTCCTATTCTCATATTAAAGGTAGTAAATTTTTTGTAAAGACATATAAATCCTGTCTTCATTCTGATTCTGTGTATACCATCTTAAAAAACAGAAATCCTAGTAGTATTTTAAGAATTTATGCAGATTCTGCTTAATCTTATGTTTCCAGTCTGTGAAGCATATTTTAAAGTAATTTTAACACTTAAAATACATTTATTGTATTTTTCAACTTTTGTTGAAGTGGGTGTTAGGTATCATAGGCAACATTCCTGGCAAGGGAGTGCAAGTAATTCTTTAAAATGAAACTTTGGTGTTTTAGTTCAGCCCTTTCATTGATTGAAAAGTTATGAATCTATCTTGCCTCTTTTCACAAATGAAAATTTGTCCAAATGAAATGAATCTACCCTATTAATTCTACTCGACATCTGCTTTATTTGTTAAACACTTCAAATTTTTTTTTCTGATCCATTTAATTCTAAGTAATTTCTCAGTTAAATATTTACATGGGCTTCCATGATTATAAGCCCTAGCTTGTTTTAAATAACCAGCAGATTATCCACAGAGTGTTATGTGGAATACTACACATTGTAATCACTGTGTATTGGAATTTAAAATGATTTGACTGGCTTAGACTTATTTTTTGCATGTTTTCATCTTAGCCAAAAGTATACTAACCTTCTGAATTCCATTCTTTTTCAGCATTTTAGTATCTAGAATTCTACCAGATAAAAAAGTGAATGACTATATAGACATATGCAGTTGTTTCCATTATGAAAATACTAAATACGCCCCCAAGTTTCTCTTTCAAAAAGTGGAAAATCTGTATGTTTGCAAAATTTAATAGAAATAACTTGATTTATTGTTTTTACAGCAGGTTAAGTAGATGGGGAAAATAGAAAAATAGACATTCTTTGGCAAATTAAGTCAAAGAGAACCTGCATAGATTATACAGTGTACCATGTGTACAAATAATATGATTCTCCAGGAAAATTATCCAAATACGTAAAACATCAGGTAGTTGTCAAGTGAATGAGTTTCAAAGTAAAGAAAAGTTACAGTCTGTAAATGATTCATTCTTAAACGAACTACTATAAGGCAATCATAGACATAATAGAGTGGGGTGGTCACTTTAGCCTAAGACAATAAGATTTAAAGTTCTTCAGTGAATTACTGAAGTCCAAGCTTGATAATAAAATTAATTATATGTAGAGCAGTAAACTATTCCCCAACACCAATGCCAGTATTGCTGTACCAGTGGGGTTTTTTTTGTTTTTTTGTTTTTTTATGATCCTGTCTACGGTGCGTCTATTAAGTCTCTTCTATAAATGAGCTGAAGGACAGAATAAAAGGGGCTTCTGCCTGTCAGTAGTCACTGTCAACTCAAAGGATAAGTAGCTGACATGTAATGAGATGTTTACAAAGCCAGATTCAGAAAGAAAACTGGAAAGCATTCTGACACAAATGTTAATCTCTACCCTAGTTTCATTTATTTTAACTGAAGCTTAGGTCCATCGATCATTTTCATAGTAAGTGTTGAATAAACCCCTTACTAAATGGAAGGAGCAGTGACCTGAATGATTATATTAGTGAATCGTCCTCAAGTTGTAATTTCTTACTTTGGGAAATATGCGTGTGATTTTTAGACAGTTGATTAATTTGTGTTTTACTAATGACAATATTAAGATTATTTTTCTTTGTAAACGTCAACTAACGTTCAATAAAAACAGTTGAAAAATGTTCTGAACATTAGGGAAATATGGCTAGGGTTAAAAATTGGTCATTTATAATTTTAATTTTAAGTGATCCATTAAAGATTAGAAAAACATTTACCCATTTTTTTTATAAAATTAAAAAAAAAAACAAGTCCTAGACCAAGCGTAACTGAAGGGGGTTCAGAGTTGTCATGTTCAAAGACACAGTAGGGGGTTTGTTTGGAATTGATGCCATGTCTTGGTACCTGGATCTTGCACACAAAAGGTTCTCTTGACTATTTTTAATCATGTGAATATATAATAAATAAAATTTAATGATTTTACATTTTATATGGAGTCTTGCTATATAATTTTCCCAGCTAGTAGAAAAAGTGACTTCAATTATGTTTCTTAGAATTAAATGTATTTCCTTTCCTTGATGACATTATGTGTGTGTGTGTGTTTTAGTAACTCATTTCAGAAAGGGCTGAGAGAGTTAGCCACATTTAGATGAACATCAGAAATGTTATAGACTGACTATTCATGAAATGATATTTTCTTTAGGGTAAGAGGGAAGAATTTAAGGTGGAGCCAAGACTGTGTCAGTCTTATAGAATATGACACAGCTTCCTGTAGTTCCATTGTGATTAACACTTGATATAACTGGATTTTAATATTTGTTTTTCTTATAAACAGTAGGAATCTATCATTCAAAAGTCTAAGTTAGCCAAGTTTCCTTGTTTATATATCATTTAATAGGTGATTTTTAATCTACAAAGAGAACTGACTTTTTTCATTCCCAAATCACCGAAATACAGGTTTCATGTGCTTCTGCAACATGAAATTCTTCAGAAGCAGATAAAAAGAAATAGAAATAATAAATGCATGGATCTTATTCAGCTATTGTAAAGGAGTCAGAGACTTGGGGAATGAAAATTGGTGACACATGCAGCATTTTTTGTACTAAATGCTCTTTGAAAATTAGGTATAATAATAAATGTTCAATTCTGACAAGTTCAATGAGAAATTAAAATGTCTATCATTTTTCTATTCAAAACAGATTTAAATGTTAAAATTATATATGGCATTTATAAAAAATTTAATGTGAAAAATTAAAAAAGAGTATATACATAATAAATAGGGGTCATAAGAAATATATCTAGTATTTTAGTTTAAAGGTAGTGATAGCTTTATTTATTTATTTATTGGTAGCGGGGATTGAACTCAGGACCTTGTGCTTGTGAGGCACCACTGAACTAAATCCCCCATCCTAGTGATGACTTTTAAAGAATAAGGTCCTATTATAAAAATGAATCCTAGGTGTCTATAGATAGGGTGAATGCATATCTGAGGCCTTAGGTTCAATCCAGTACCAAAAAATAAGAAATAAACAATGCTAACTATTTGAAATTAGATAACACAAGAATGTTTCTTCTAGAACCAGGGTAAAGTCCGATTTATTTGAACTAGAGCTTTATATTGATTCCAAACCATTTTAGCACATATAATATTTAGCTGATTAATCATAATATTTGGAAAATCTTCTTGCATCTTCAAACAAAAACATAGAGCTGGTTGACTGGAATGGATTGATTTTCCAGTGTGAATTGTTTTCATTCAGCCATTAACAGTCATAAATCATAATGAAAAAGACACAGATTCTACCTATTGAAGCTTAGACCTGCTAAGAGAATAAACCATTCCCTGAACAATCACCTACATGGATTTATGATAAGCCCTGTAATGGAAAAGTCCAAGGCGCTCCAACACCAAAATGGGCAACTCATGTGCTGTCAGAGAAGGTGAGACAGGGTTTTCTTGAGATCAGCTTGGCTGTGGTGTAAAGCCAACCAGGAAGATCTTCAGATGAACAAGAAGAGATCATGGGAGTAGTAGAGATGGAAAGAAGTAGATCCAACTATACTTTGGAGATAAAAATCAACAGACTTGGAAACTAGATGTGAGGTGTAAGCTTGAAAGAGGAGAGTAAGGAGTCTGGGTTCTAGATTTCTACTGTGGGCACTCACTGAGGGTATTGGTGCATTCACTGAGGTTAGGAATCCTGCAGGAGGGTCCAGTCTTGAACGAAGCAGCCTGACTTCCATGCTGGATGGACTAATGTCAGACAGGCAATTGGATGCTGGATCTGTATCCAATGCAGAAAATAAACTGAGATATAAATCTAGGATTTGCTGGTTTAGGAAATCTGAAACCCATAGTCTATAAGATTGTGATAAGAGAATGTGAAGCAAGAAGAAAATGAGCCTAAAATCCCCCACATTTAAACCACGTTTTCAGGTTGAAAATGAAAGAAGGAAGCAAGCAGCTGTCAAGACAACGAAGATGGAGTGATAGCTGCTGAAGATTAAAATGAAATAACAAAATTGCTTTGAGTTTCATGCTAAGGAGGAATTTTACATAACAGTAAATATTTATAAAGACCAAAAGACCTGACTTCCAAACTAAAAACACCTTAGGTTTCCTGAGTTTTTGCTTTTTGCTTATTGGTTGGTTGGTTGGTACCAGGGATCGAACTTGGGTCCTTGCACTTGCAAGGCAGGCAGCAGAACCACTGAGCTAAATCCCCAGCCCCTGAGATATTTTTTTATGCTCTAAAAAAAATAACCTTCCCTACCACTTAGCAATATAATGAGAAAATGTTAAAAAGAATCTATGATACTAAAAGTTAAATGTTATAGACATACGTTTGAAACCAAATCTATAATCATGTTTTCTTAAAAAGATACTTAGAAAGCTACTCTCAGCCAAAAAAGTACTTTTATTTATGGAGTTTAACTATACAAAATGTTTTTTTTCTGCTTACAAATATTGTTACCATTTATTAATGGTAGTTTGGTAAGAAACGGTTCTGAGGATATGGGGTGTTTTAACTGGTATGTTTAATCTTATACCTAGTTTGGAACTGCTTTTTCTTCTTTCTTGTACTTAGCTACAAAGATAAACCAGACAACGAAGGGGAATATATAATCATTAATATATTGCACAATTTAAACTTAAAGAGCTCAAATCAGTTTTGTTTAATTAGTGAAATGAGCATTAATATTCACAACACTCTTTGTGAAGCAGGTATACTTGAAATAGCCAATTAATCTGTGTCCCTTTTTCCTCGTAGGGTTCCATAGGGATACAGGGCCCCCAAGGTCCACCTGGAAAAGAAGGTCAAAGGGTAAGTAAACTTGGAACAACTGATATACATCATTAATTCAGGGAATAGTTGTTTTTAAAAAAACACCCAGCTATAGCAAGTGGATGGGCATTATATCAGCTCTCTAAAGGTTGAAATTTAAGAGTAGAGAGGTTGTATTTCAGAAAATTGTAAATTTTTCCAGATTGACATTGCAAGTATAGAGGTAATTTTTTGGATGAAAGGGATCAGCTCTCATTTGATCTAGAGCTCTTTGTACTGTATTTCCTGTACTGGAGTTAAATTAATGAGTATCTTTGTGGAAGTCCAGCCCATTCATGAATTCAATAAAAACCGTGGTTATTAAGCTCTGTATTGGTCAGCTTTCCCATTGCTGGGACCAATACTCAATACCCACAGCTTAGAGGAAGAAAGATTTGACTTGCCTTAGAGTTTTGGAGAATTCAGTCCCTGGTCAGCGGGCACAGAGTTAGTTATGTCACAGTTACGGCAAGTTGGAGGAAAACTGCTCACCTCATGGCATCCAGGAAGCAGAGAGCAGAGGAAGTGTGCCAGAGAGGAAGGGTGAGGGACCAGATGCAGTAACCAAGGTCACACCTCGATGACCCACCCATGCACACCCAGAAATGCGCCTTACTAATCCCGTGGGTGGCTCCCAAGCCAATCAGGTTGACAATTCAGCTTAACCGTCGCAATTACATTATATAACAAATTATTGACATTATTTTCTCTTGGTAACTCTCCTTTCATTGCTCTTTATTACATACAATAGCGAGTGAATAAATTGTGGTTGCATTCGGGGGTATTCAGTGTCCTTTTATCTCGAGTCTGTCTTGGTCTCCTCTTTCTTCAGTAAAAGGAAATCCTGAGGTGGGTGTGTGGCATCTGGCTGCTTTGACTCGGTCTGGTGGCTTACTATTATTAAGATTTCCAAATCATTTCAAAGACAGGAACATTTTACCTGCTTTCCCAAATGGTTATTTGTAAAAACTCTTCTTGCTAGATGAGGCCGATGAAGATTCTGTAACTTACAACCATAGGTGACTTGCCTGAATTTGGGCTTCTGACTCTCGATCCCATGGTTTCTTCTGTCATCTTGGGACATTAACCCAAATCTATTTTTGTCACTCTCAATTATTACTTTAAGTTCTGCCCTCTGCTAAATGAGTACATTTCTTCCAGTACGTCGGAGTCCTTGGGATGTTTATGGTCCAATGGTGTATTTTATCAAGGCTTATCTTTATTAGGTTCATAAAATCCCAGTTCTACTCTTTCTCTTCTTATATGGATTGCCGGTGCCCTTCCAGGCTGGTAGTCTTTTCCAGAGAACATTCATTGACCCTCTGGTATCAAGAGTGGGACTCACACCTGGGGTCATATTTAGAGTGGAAGGAAATGTGGCAAGTAGACCAGGTACGATAGCCAAGTTTCTTCTGTTGAAGCCTAAACTGAGTCCGTGTTTCTGGTCTGTTTTTACAACTTTGACTTGTACCGACATGAGGTAAATTAAGAGTTCCGGCTTTTGTTTCACTGAAAACTTCTACAGACTCAGATCTCCACCGCTCCTGTTGTTGAGTGGTTGCCTTTCAGAATCAAAGAGTAAGAAATGATCTTTGTTGTTATGATTTGTATCATCTGGACTTCAGTCCCTAATACCATTTCACTGTTTGGGAGTCGTGTGGTTGGTGTTGTTGAAGAAATTGAGCCAGGCCTGTAATCTCAGCACCCAGGATAGGATGACAAGGCAGGAGGACCACAGGTTCAAGGCCAGCCTGGACTACAAAGTGACTTCTTAGTCCCAAGACAAAAAAAAAAAAAAAAAAAATCCTGTTTTCCAGTGCAATAGCTCTTGGCTTTATGTCACCTTGAAGTTTAATGATTTGCTCGAATCATTAATAAATCTAACCAGAGCAGGGCCAGGCGACCCTGTGTAATACCAGCCTAGCCTGCCACCTTTCTACCATGGCATTCTTGTGACATGAGAATCAAGCCAGGTACAAGTAAAGCAAACTCTCCCTCCTCCCTGCTCCAATTTCTTAATTTTGTTTGGAAGGTAGAAGCTTGTCAGATACTAGAAGAAATGAAAAAATATTCCAATGAGACTTGTGCACAAATCATATACTTCAAATTGAAATTGTACTATTGGCCGGGAATTTAGCTCCGCAGTTCGGTGGCCTGCCTTGCAAGCACAAGGACCCGAGTTCAATCCCCGGTACCAAAAAAAAAAAGACAAAGAAAAAGAAATTGTACTATTAAAGGTAGCATTTCAGAAGAAGATGGGTTGTAGAATAAACTGATGTAGTTTTCATGATAATTATTTGAATTGTAAAATCAGTCCTTATTTTATGCGGATATACTCTCCATTTATAAGTGTGAAGCAGAGAATTTTGTGTTACCTTGACTTTATTTTCTATCAAGTGTAACGTCAGAAAAGAATGTAGTAGAATTTTGTAGTCATCGTTAAGCATAGTTTGTCATTGTTGCTACGTCTCTTTTGTGAGTGCCATGTTTATCAAAGAAAATAGCTAGAGCAGGTACTATGAACGTTATCAACACTTAAAAATGATTTCCATATATGCCCAGTGATTTGTTCTACTTTATAAGCTACTTGAACAGGAGAGAAATTAATGCAAGAAATGAAGCGTTCTTACATACTTAGGTATGGGTGCATCTGAATGTTACTATTTCTTGTCTGTTCAAGAGTTAGGCAACATGAAGCTTTAGACACATACATGTATTTGCATGTGTGTATATATATGAAACTTCTCGAAACTAAGCGTAATAATCTTTTCACTGTGGTTTGCTATAGAATACAAAGGTTTACAAAATCTGAGTTAAAAAATGATCCAAAAAAATTGATCCACTTTCAATTAAACTCTTAAGTGTTTTGACTATAGGTGTTTGCTGAGGAAATAATTGACTATTATTAATGTTTTTGCAATGAAATATGAAAAATGTATCAAGCCTTATGCACTTCTAGGAATAATGGCTTTAATGAATGAACAGCAGAAGAAATCATTAACATCTTGGTTTTCCTCAATGATTAAATAAATAGTAGCCCTTGTGCTACTAATATGTCACAATTAAGGTGTGTTTCAAACACAAGTGTCACATATAAATGCACTTTGGAAAATTCCAAAATTATAGAAGCACGTTAATATTGCCACTATTATTTTTATTAGAATATGAAGGTTCTGATTGATAAATTGCTTTTCTTTTTCTCTTTAACCTTTTGCGTAAAGTTTCTGTAGGCAGAACAATATTTTTTGCAAATACCACATCAGAATTCTGTTTGAAAGTTTTGCTAGTGGATTTTTCAAGCTACTAACTCTTCATTTATTAACTACAAGTCTTAGTTTATAAATTTAGTTACAACTACTTAATAGTTGCTTTTAACTTCAACATTGTATGTACTATGGCAAAATATATCTGAGATTTATGAGCTTCCTTTTTCCTTATCCTTGTAATTTTCTTGGAACCTTTTATGTGCCATTAATTTTTTCTTGTTTACTTTCTTAACTTTTTGAAGTCTGACAAGTAAAACACTTGTTTGCTTCATAATCGATACAGCTTTTGGAATCCAATCAATGCTGCAGATGAGAATGGGGGTGGGCGCAGGAAGGACAGCAGGGGGCGGTGTGGAGGAGGTAAGGCTGCTGGGGAGCGCGAGTGTTTAACCCAGGATGAGGTCAAAGGGCCAGGAGAGGAAGCGGGACACTGCAGGGCCAAGAACCAAAACAAGTGCGAAGATGTGTGGTGCTTCAGCAGGAATGAAATCTGGAACAAAGTCGGCTGAGAGATGTTGGGTAAGGAGAGGCTGTAAGCAGGGCCAGTTGAGAAAAAAGATTTAACTGAATCGTGTGAAGAGCACTGGGTGGGGTATAAGGAAAGGAGCTGGCAGATTATGAGGAAGAAGAGGCAGCAATGGGGAATCTGGGGAGGGTGGGCAGGAACTGGATGGAAGTCCAGAGAAGTATCTTCCTGGAATGCACTGTTTCACCTTAGCTGAGCGTATCCATGACGTAGATGCTAGGGGGAAACACCTCAAAAGGCCTGGCGTTTATAAAACTCCGTGAGACGTATATGCCCTGATGATTTCTCAGTATTCCTAATAAAAATCTCTTACACATAACGAAGATAGTAATCACTTTAGCGTAACCTAGGATTTCCCTTCATAGTGACCATAAACACCTTACATGTCTGACCTTCTCCAAGTGAAAGAATGAAACACTTGAGGTCTCTGGGAGAAGCCAGTTACCGCTCCGCACAGAATCTGAGCGGCTGGTGTCATCGCACTCTTGGCTTCTGCGGCTGGGTCCTCATTTTAGTCCTGAAGGGAAATTTTGTTTTAATGTGGGGAGATTTCCCTTTATTCCTTTGGTCTGTTCCTCGCCTGTCCTCTCTGCTGACTCTCAGCAGCCCACCTCTCCACTCCCCGCCCTCCTGGGATCCGGATTCCTCCAGCTCAACCGCACCGGAAGGTGAGCCTCCTCGTCCCCCTCCCGGCTGGCTGGAGGTGTCCCCTTGCACTTGCCAGGACTGGAAGAGGCGGAGGAGCTGGCTCGCATTTCTCCGATGAGGAGGGAGCCCTGCTGAAGTGGGCTCCAGGCGCGCGGTGAGGCGGGGCCCTCTGGCCCGACTGCGCTGTTAGCAAGCGCGCCTTCATCTTGTTCTTTCTAGAGACGCTTGCAGAAGGGAAGGCAAGTGGATAAAATCAGAATACCCGGGTGGATCAAAAACAGTGAATAAGGAGAGCTGGGATTTAGCTCAGTGGTTCCGCCCCCTGGCTCACAAGTGCAGGGCCCCTAGTTCGATCCCTGGTACAAAAAAAGGAAGGAAGGAAGGAAGGAAGGAAGGAAGGAAGGAAGGAAGGAAGGAAGGAAGGAAGGAAGGGAGGGAAAAGAAAAGAAAAGGGTAAATAAGGTGAAACGACTGTCTTCACTGCATTGAACTCACTAAACCTTTGCCTGAATTCTTACTTTATCTTTATATCCTTGCCCGTGCTTTAATGCCCCCAGAAG